GGTGAGAGAGGAGGCGACACGAGCAGGGGGCAGAGTCAAGACCAGACCGGGACGCTGCAGCAAACACCTGACCCGGCACAGCTACCTGGCCAGGGTTTAGGGCAGCGCGCGGGCTGCAGAGGCAGCTCCCACGGGCTGCAGAGGCAGGCACAGCTGCAGGGGCAGCGACCACGGGCTGCACGGGCAAGCACGGCTGCAGAGGCAGCGCCCATGGGCTGCAGGGGCAGGCACGGCTGCAGAGGCAGCGCCCACGGGCTGCAGGGGTCGGCACAGCTGCAGGGGCAGGCACAGCTGCTTGGGAGGGCGGCGCGCGGGCTGCAGGGGCAGCTCCCACGGGCTGCAGAGGCAGGCACGGCTGTAGGGGCAGGCACAGCTGCAGGGGCAGGCACGGCTGCAGTGGCAGCACGGTCGCAGGGGCAGCACGCGGGCTGCAAGGGCAGCGCGGCCGTAGGGGCAGCTTAAAAAAAAAAAAAGGAATTTCAGTTAGGGCAGGGCGGAACGTTCGGTGGGCCTTAGGAACGATTCTGCTCTAATGCCATGTGAGAATAGGAACGAGGAATGTTTGCATTCAACAGCATGAGGAGTACAAGTAGGAAACCCTAAAGTGTTGTACCCCATATGAACTACCCCACTACAGCCTTCACAGACGATAGCATATAAGTATGACATTGCACTGCTATCGGCTCATCCGACAGCTTGGTAACATATTTACTCCACGGCCTCGGAACCAAGGGATAGTAGTATTGCCTAAAACCAATTATGGGCCCTGTAAGTAATACTTTTCCAAATGGAGAATGTTAGAGATATATTTTTCTTTTCAAGAAATACACAACTGTAGAGTCTAAAAAAGAATCTATCAATCTGCTTATGTAAAGTCGGGTTTTGAAACCTGACCCGCCTGGGTCGACCCGACCTGGTGGCGTGTCAAATCTGACCCGACAACTTAAGTCCGAGTTGGGTCAGAGATCCTGGTAACCTACACCTAGGTTGACCCGACCCGACCCGACCCGGAACCCGGCTGGCCCGCCTAGGTCGGGTCGGGTCAGGTCGGGTCGGGCCGTTTGACCATGCCTACTCACCAGGGGCCTATTTTCAAGGGCAAAATGCCATGATTACTCTTTCCGAAATCAATTTTTTTCGATTACCCTAATATTGAAAATGTGGACGCGTTTGTACCTTTTCCCCAAAAGTGTAGTGTTTCTTTAAACACTATCAAAATTAGTGTGCGCAGGTTACTATACTTGCGCCCCAAAGTACCCTCGCCCCTCCCAGCCTCACTCTCCCCGATTCCCTTACACATCTCAGCACGATTCCCCCCATTTCCCTCACTTCTCCCAGCCAAACCCCATTTCTCCAATATCCCTCGCCGCTCCTAGCCCAACTCCCCCCATTTCCCCCGCATCTCACAGCCCCTCCCCACAATTCCCTCGCCAGCTTAGCCCCAATTCCCCCACTTCCCTTACAAATCAGGGTGCTCCGAAGGTTGCCCCAAAACCAATAATAGGCCTTGCCACCCGCCCGTCTGCATGCGCCCACCTTCTGCCGGCCCGACGGCACGCCCCCTTAGGCATGAGCTGATGGCTCGCGCGGGTCGGGTCGTCCTGTGCGTGAATTAGGGCAGGTCGGGTCAGCGAATTCCTTAATGTGTACTACGCGGGTTGACCCGACCCGGCCCGGGCACAAACCCGACCCGAGACCTAAACCGGGTCGAGTGGGGCCGGGTTTCGGGCCAGGTTTGACCCGACCCGAAGGGAAGTCGGGTCGGGCTTTTGGCCCGACCTGATTTCGACTCTGCATGGTAAGAAACCCAAAACGGATATGATGTCGAGGGGATTTTTTTACCCTCGACAATTAGAACTCTCACACCCACCCATGAGACAAATCACAGCCACTAATGGCACCTAAGCTAACTTACTAATTAGTTGCACCCTACAAAAGCATATTATCTTACATTCCCAACTTCTATGGATGTGTTAATCTGCTGTAAGGAAATTAAGCTGGTTGGATAGCGTAAATCCAGTTTTCGCCTTTTAGTTGCGCGATTTCTCCTTTGGGGCTGCACGCCATGTCTTAGAATAGCCATCGCTCATATGTCCACCCAGCATATAACATAGTACCATTTTGTAATGATTGCGGGGCGCCGCGTGCACAGTGTAGGGGCGGCCGCTAGCATAGGTGCTGGCGCCAGGGTTTGGCCGTGTTTTTGGGCCATCCCTGGAGCATCCCTTGCTGGCCTCGGAATTCCATTCTTCGGGGAGGGTTTCCAATTGGGGCAGCTCTCCCAAGGTGCAGACGCTGCAGCCCACGAAGAGGGCATTGCAAAGAGGCGGGCTTCAGAGGAGCAACAATGGCAGCAAGCAATAGACCAGCTGCAAGCTACTGGGCAGCAGTCTGTTGAAGAGCGTCGTGACCCGACTTGGATGCCGGGTAATGCGGATGCTGCTGCTAGTGATGGTGAAAGTGGTGGCAAAGGTGGGGGGAGCCGGGCGGGACAGAAGAGAGCACGTGTGGATGGCCCCCATGTTGCGGAGCGGCGGGGTTAAACTTAGGGGTCGGCGGTGGAAGGGGGGGCCGCGACGAGGCGTGGGGCGGGTGCCCCGAGTGCTGCTGAAGGTGCTAGCCATACTTCGGGTCAGCGCCAGCCACTGCTGCGCCTGTTGCCGCCGCTACTGCTCCCGCTCCACGTACGTGTCCGCCTACTGCTGCCGCATGTGCTGTGCCTACTGCTGCTAGGCGCGTTGTTGGTATTTCATGTGCCTCTATCAATGCTATGGGGGAGGCCAACCAGCCGCAAACCAAGAACGATTTGGACCCTGTTGTGGAGATCGCGCCGAGTAAAGGAGAGCCAGGTTTGGTGCGTGACATGTTTGGTCCGATAGTGAAAGGTCAGCGCCGATGCCTCACGTGCAACAAAGAGTTGAAATGGGGTCAGGGTAACACGCGTGCGGGGGGGAGGCATTACACGAGCAATCATTTTCCTAGAGTTCATGTTAACAGGAGTGGAGTGTTAGCCACGCCCTTGCTTGGGCAACGCCGTCGACTTGGTCGGATGTACGAGAGAAGCAGCCGACCGTTCACTATGGGAGAGCTGTTCGACGGGCTTCGTCGCGCTGCAGGGGACCGCTGTGGTGTTGCTGTCAACTAGGAAGCTCGACAGCTGCAGCAGACTAGGCTGGGTGACGGGTGGGCCGTCGACCAGGAGGAGCAGTTCGACTAAAAGGTCGACGGAGTAGTCCGTCGACCTGACTAGTGAGCAGCGGTCGACGAGGAAAGCTCGGCGACAACAGCTGACAGTTTAGGTCGACGGAAGGGTCTTTCGACCAGGGGGTAGTTCGATGGGAGTTTTGGTCGACCAGCGGCACTTGGTGTTTGACCAGAGGCACTGGTGGTCGACTAGAGCACTTGGTGGTCGACCAACTCGACCAGGTAACATGGAGGCACGCGAACGTTTGTCGTGGTCGCAGTGACAAAGGCGACTTCAGGCTGGTATCCCGAAGTCGATGTGGCTCACCAGGCATAGACAACAACCGACGGATGCACAACGATGCAAGTCGGGCCAATCGTCTACGCGCACCTGCGAGTGTGCGCACTGCTGTCTTTAGCGGGGCAGCGGTGGACAGCCGCTTTGCTGCAGCGTTGGCACGCCATCGACCTGCTACGTTGGCAGGTCGCCTTTCTGTAGTGCTGGCGCGGCTCCTCTACGCAACGTTGGAAGGCGGTCGACCATGCTGTGCTGGGGGTCGACCAGGCTAGCTGTAGAGTTGCTAGGTGCCTAATTTCAGTCATTTTGTCATTGCTTGTTCAATCATTCTGTAATGCAATCTTTGCCTAGTGAAACTCTTGCCGATTCCCCCTTTGAATGTGCAAGCGCTAAGGAACTAAGCAAAGCTTTGATCACTCCTACTAGTTCGTGCCAACCCCTCCCCCCCCCCCCCCCCCCCCCCCCCCCCGTAGTCTAGCTCACTACTTTGTAGAGGGAATCACTGCAGACTCACCCAAAAACACTGGCGACAGACATCGCATTCTCGTCCTTGACCCGCCTGGGCATCCGTCACCACCAACATGGTGGCACACGAACGTCGTCGAGGTCGCGGTGATGAAGGCGACTTCGGGCTGGTATCGCGAAGTCGATGTGGCTCGTCAGGCGCAGACAACAGCCGACGGATGCACAACGATGCAAGTCAGGCCAATCGTCTACGCGCACCTGCATGTGTGCGCACTGCTGTCTTCTGCAGGGCAACGGTGGACAGCCGCTTTGCTGCACCTTTGGCACGCCATCGACCTGCTACGTTGGCATGTCACCTTTCTGCAGTGCTGGCGCAGCTCCTCTACGCAACGCTGGAAGGCGGTCGACCATGTTGTGCTGGCGGTTGGCCATGCTAGCTGCAGAGTTGCTAGGTGCCTGATGTTGTCATTTCTGTCATTGCTTGTTGATTCATTCTGTAATTTCGACTTTGCCTAGTGGAAACTCTTGCCGATTTCTCCCGTGAACGTGCAAGTACTAAGGAACTAAGCAAAACTAGGATCACTCCTAGTAGTTCGTGCCAACCCCCGTAGTCTAGCTCATTACCGTTGTAGAGTGATTCTCCGCAGTTCAGATCTGGGTCCGTCGCTTCATGGACCCGAACAAGCCCGAGGGGCTTGTTTTCCATAATGGGGGGTGGGTAGGCAGACGACCATCCACACCTATGTAACGGCTGCGCGAGGGGCTGGTGATGCTCTTTGCCGGGCTCGACTTGCCGTCCGATGTGTCAACATGCATGCGGTAAGATCTTGTTCAATGTCGTTTGTAACTACGCTTGGGGATGCATTGTTGACCCGTCTTCAGTAACCTCAAGCCAATCCCTCCCACCGATACATATATGTGCTCTTCCCCATGCCTGTTTTGTGACTTCGTCGCGCTGCTGAACCCCGAGGCGGCACATCATCTCGGCACTCGTTTCCGCCTAGCATGCAACGTGCTGTCCACGGGCGAGGTCGCTACGCCTCAGCTTCAGCAGATGTTGGCACGTGACAGACTGGCGAGAAGGGTGACACTCAGCACGGATATATGGATCAGTGAGAACAACATCGAGTTTATGGTGGTGACAGCTCACCGGGTCACCACGGACTTCAAGCTGCAGCGGATGATTCTTGATGTCAGGCCGCTAGAAGGCTCCCACACAGGGGACAAGATAGCACACGAGTTGGAGCATGTCATTGAGGAGTGGGCACTGGGTGATGCATTCTTCGACTTTACCACAGACAACACTGAGAACATCAACCGGGCAGTTCGTCTACTAGCCGGCGTCCCTGAAAACACACCGGGGTCACGTCCGCGTGACCCCCCCCCTCTGCTTTCCCAGTCTTGGCACATCAAGTAAGTGACATCCTCTACTTCTATTGTGTCTTGTGGCATACCGTGTGATGGCAATGACGTAAAAGACCCTAAACCATATTAGATGCTACCGCCTCTCCTTATGGACTTGCTTGCCCCCCAGGTGCGTGGCCCATGCCCTGAACCTGGCAGTGCAATTTGCACTATAGGTTGAGACGGTTTCCGAGCCGCTCCAGAGGCTGCGAGCTGTGGCCAGCCACATTGGGTGGTCAGTGCAGCAGTCGGCGCAGTTTTTTGGCATTCAGAGCCGATATGCAGCGACCCGTGACAGCGACAGAGACGGGCACTGCACAGAGAGGCAGGGTGCGGAAGGTACCAGATGACTTGCGCCTGATCGTCGACCCGCCGATGCGCTGGGCTGGGGTTCCACGCTGGAGATGATGATGAGGGCATTCGATCTGCGCATCCCTCTCACCATGCACTTCGATGAGTCTAACTTAAGTATGGGGTGAAGGGTTGAGCGTGGAATGGATGTATCGCATCACTTGTACCGATGTCCCATCAATATGGCCCGGTATCCCATGCGCTCCATGCCATACCCTCTTATGATGGCACGCGCTTACAATGAATGGGTGACTCGTGCATCACACGTGAATTCTCGTTTGTTCCCATACCCCATCACTATATAGGACCCTATGTCCCATACACTCCATACCTTACCCTCTTTGGAAGGCACATGCTTATAACGAATGGGTAGCACATGCATTGCATGTGGATTCTAACTTGAACACTTATCCCAGCACATATCTATGATCCTATTTCCCATGCACTCCAATCCTTACCCTCTGACAATGGGCACATGCTATATATGAGGGCCTTGGCTTGTGGGGAAAACATGGGTTATTCCGTTGTTACTAAACCGAATCCGTTTTCCTCTTGTACCATTTCACTCTCCCCCTCCCAGACCAGCATCCCCCGTGCCACATGCGAGGCATGGACAACGATCAGGCTGTCTGATGCTCTCAAGGCACCTCTTATCGAGCTGCGTGATTTCCTCATGCCTTTTGACGCTATCACCAAGTTCTTGGAGGGGTCCTTGTACCCCACCATGGCAGCTGTGGTACCCCAGTACAACATGCTGCTAGATATTCTGGATACGACGTTTCGCATGCCAGGGATCTCGCCACATGGGGGGGGGGGGGAGGGGGGGGGGGGGGGGGGCGAGGAGGAGGCGATGGCCACCTTTGTCGATCTGCGCCTCAAGACTGCGCCCTTCAGGCTCAGGGCTTGGGGGGCGTGGAGTAACGCACCCATTGTGGTGGAGGCGAGGGGGCCATGCCAGGGGGGCCCATGCACTTGACCTGGGTGAGGAGAGGGTGAAGGTGCTGGTGCGCGAGTGCCTTCTACAGTACCAGACCGCGGCCCGTGCTGCTGCAAAGGCATGCCTTGGGGGTGAGGTCACTAGCGCTAGGGGAGTGGCGGGGCAAGGCGCGGCATTCATCAGGGCTGCAGGGCCTAGGGGGGCTAGGGCATGTGGCGTGCTTGAATTTCAGGCTATGCTGTTTGCTGAGCTGGCAGAGATGGAGGCAGAGGAGGGGGTGCGGGCATAGGACAAGGTGGAACAGTACTTGGCTGAGGCGAGGAAAGAGGATTGGTGCTTCTTAGTGTACTGGCGCGGGAGGGAGCAACAGCTGACCGTGCTTAGGACCATGGCACACGATTATCTGAGTATACCCTCCACGTCTGCGGTGAGTGAGCGGGCCTTTAGTCAAAGCAGGGACATCACTTGGTGACAGAGGCAGGTCCGAGTGCACAACAGGTGCGTGCGGCCATGATGATACTGACATGGCAGGATCATCACCTTGGAGAAAGGCTTCAAATTTGTCCCTAAAACCACACTAGCACAATTGTGTCTTGAAGAAGAGCAGTTCGGGTTGTGATAGACAGTTGATTGTGTAGAGTTGGGGAATTGACATTTGTCTCTGCGTCTTCAAGGGCACCGCATTGTTATACTTATCAGCGACCTCTTTGATTGTGTGGCAGACTACATTTGCAGTTGCAGCTTCAATTTTTTATAAGCGGCCTATTTTATAATATGGTTGACGTGAAAACTAAAACGAGAATGATGCACTAAGGAATGGAATGTGGTACAAATATGCAACCCTAGAAATGTGTACCCCATATAGGCTACCCCACTACAGCCTACAGAACATTATGATTTGACACACCCCCATAGGCAAAGTGGGGGAGAACAAGGGGTCACAAGACCAGTCAAGCAGAACAAAACAAAGCTCAGGGTGGATCACAAAGTCACCACACATTCCGAGCACAAGTTCAAGGCTAGAAGGCCAGTCCACATGCAGGAGCACATATATATATAAAAGGCTAAACAAGCAAGAGCAGGAGTATATATATGTGACAGTACAAGCAAGGTCAAAAAGTGAGCAAGTGAGGCAAGGCAGGCACAAGACCAAGCTGAGTACAGAAGCGCTGATGATCACAAGGCGCAAGTGCCTTAGTGAAGATATCAGCAGTGTTGGCCTCAGAGGCCACGTACGCAAGTCGCAACTGACCACGCTGCTGCAGCTCACGAGCAAGAAAGTAGCGGAGAGCAGTGTGCTTCGTTCTGTGCTCCAGGCGCTGCTCCCGACACAAGGCCAGCTGTCTACGTACAGCACTGGAGGAGAACAAGGCGGCTCTCCGAGGTCAGTCAGCAGGTAGGTGAGCCAGTGAAGCTCCTGAGTAGCCATGGCTCCAGCGTAGATCTCAGCCTCACAACGGGAGCCAAAACGGAAGACGAGCGAGTAGCCCTCCACGAAACAGAGCCGGAACCAAGGCTGAAGGTGTAACCCTGTGACGACCGCTGTGTAGCCTGGTTGTCAGCCCAAGAAGCGTCTGCGTGCCCAGTGAGGACAACTGGACTCTGCCCTCCAAGCACTAGTCCCATGCCCGACGTACTGCACAAGTAGCGCAACACCCTCTTCGCTGCAGCCATATGCTCCGGTCTGTGTCTCCTAGGAGAAACATAGCGTGCAAGAATGCTAAGAGGGTATGCAAGGTCAGGTCGTGTGCAGGTCATCAGGTACATGAGGCAGCCAACAAGCTCTGGGTACGGGCCACTTGACTCTACGGACTCATCCGAAGGCAGAGCTGAGAGCGAGTGGCGAGTAGACAGAGGAGTGGCCTGAGGCGACGAGTACGTGAAGCCGAAGTGCTGAAGGACCTGCTGCACCATGTGTGACTGAGTCAGGGTAATGGTGTGGCGTGCTCTATCCCGGGTGATCTGCAAGCCAAGGTAGCTGCGCAGTTCACCCAGGTCTGTGCACGTGTGTCTAGTCTGCAGCTTGGACTTCACGTGGGCGAGTCCAGCAGTGTCAACAGTGGCAAAGACCAAGTCGTCGACGTACACGAGGATGTAGAACGGCGGCAAAGAGGTGTCGATGCGCAGAAACAGTGACGGGTCGGCAGTAGAGGGAGCAAACCCAAGAGCCGCAAGCGTAGTCCTCAGTGTGTCGTGCCACTCACGCGGTGCCTGGCGGAGACCGTAGACTGGCCGTCGGAGGCTCCACTGGGTGCTAGGGGGAAAAGTCCCGGTGAAGCCAGGTGGGCGGCGCAGCCAGATCTCCTCGTGTAGGCTACCCTGCAAGAAAGCAGTGCTGAAGTCAAGAGAGTGAAGATCGTAGTCGCGCTGAGCGGCTATGTGCAGCAGCACCCAAAGAGTGGTCATCTTCGGGGTGGGAGAGAAGGTCTGAAAGTAGTCGATTCCCTGCCGCTGACTAAAGCCACGAGCCACGTACCGCGCCTTGAAGACAGGTGGAGAACGTGGCGGCCGCTTCACCCTGAAGATCCACATGCCACTAACGATGGTCGCCCCAGGTGGGGGAGCCGCGTCAACGTAGGTGCCTGTGAACTTCGAGGAAGCCATCTTTGCATCCAAAGCTGCCTGCCACTGAGAGGAGTAGGGACCCTCTACGGCCTCCGCGTAAGAGCGCGGAGTCGGGATGTCAAGTGCATCCGGGTCTCCCTCAAGGGTAAGCAGTACGGACATGAGATGAGGTGAAGCAGCAGCCAGACATTGGAACTCCTCCTGCCTGTCCTCAAGGACGTCCGTGCCAAGGGCACACTCACCCCCGACGGACGGAGGACAGACAGATTCGGACTCAGCGACAAGACTAGCAGCGTAGTCTAGACGACAGCGAGCAGCAAAGTCGACGAGCTAAGCAACTAGGGCAGACGCAGCAGTGGACTCAAAAGAAGGGTCAGTGACGACAGTAGCAAGGAGACGCGTGACAGTAGGACTGGCAGCACGAAGAGAGTCCAACTCTGGGTCGGCAAGAGCAGGAAGAGAAGACTCAGGAGGAGAAGGCAAAGGGGCACGCAGAGGAGCAGTGGACGGACGCAGAGACATCCGGTGCGTGCCAGGGACAGGAGGAGGACGCAGCACGAACCGCGACCACTAGTGCGAGCAGCACGGACAGGCAACGCAGGGCGAGACGAAGGCTCATGACACTCGGCAAGACCTCCTGTAGGACCAGTGTAGGGAGACGGAGCAGGCAGTGGGGAGGCCGGTAGGAACTGTAGCTGTGACGGGTCAGGCGGTGGATACTCTAAGGGAGGAGGAGGACTAGTAGAAGGCGGGAGACCAAGAACCTGCTGAAGAAGCGGAACGAAGTACGGCCGAGGTCGCGCGGAGACTCCAAACACAGCAGGGACAGCACCACCACCCCCAGCGACAGCACTAGCGCCAACAGTACCTCCAGCTGCAGTACCTCCAACAGCACCAGCAGCACCCGCAGCAGGACCGCCGCCACGACTAGCAGCAGTAACCTCAGCGCCAACACCCTGAGCAGCTCAGCTCCAGTCGTACCCGCAGGCCCAGCAGCTCCAGCACTCCCAGTACGAGCACCTCCGGGACCGGCGGCACCAGCACCCTCAGCAGCCGAAGAAGCACCAGCTCCAGCAGAACGCCTCCAGCGCCGGGCAAACCACTCGCGCAGCTCCTGTGAAGAGAGTGGCTCCCGTCGAGACGAAGCACCCGGAGTACCTCCAGGCCCAGCACCGCAAAACGCCACACAAGCAGGCCCAGCGGCCGCCGGCTCCGCACCCCCAGGCTCAGCAGCTCCAGACGTGGCACCCCCTGGCTCAGCACCACCAGGCTCAGCACCCCCAGGCGTAGCACCCCCAGGCTCAGCACCCCCAGGCGTAGCACCCCCAGGCTCAGCACCCCCAGGCGTAGCACCCCCAGGCCCAACACCCCCAGTCTCAGCACCCCCAGTCTCAGCACCCCCAGTAGTACCACCCGAGTTTCCAGCACCCCCAGGCGTAGCACCCACACGCTCAGTACCCCCAGAGTCAGCACCCCCAGGCTCAGCACCCGCAGCAGCACTAGAGTCACCAGTAGGCTTGACAGGCTCGACTGCGTCTATCTGGGACACACCTGAAGGGGCAGGACCCTGAGGGGGGAGGGGGTCTACCATGGGGGGACCTGGCACAAGGAAGAGCGGTGTCGGGGGGAGGGAAGAAGTGCAGTAGGGGAAGAGGCCGTAGTAGGGGACCGACTCGTCAAACGTGACGTCCTGGGAGGACAGAACACGACGAGAGGTGGGGTGGTAGAACTGCCACCCTGGCGCGTCAGGGGGGGAGCCAAGGAAGACGCAAGGAGCAGCACGAGGGGACAGCTTGTCCGCAGACGAGTCGCGGACAAACGCCCGAGATCCCCAGATACGGAACGCAGACGCATCGCCTACCTTCCCCGTCCACAGCAAAGCTGCGAAGGTCTTTGGCATGGAGACCCTGGGGTGAAGGTTGATCTGATGCGCCGCGTACCGAACCGCAAACGGCCACAGAAAATGGGGGGCAGCCGCATGCATCATGGACGTACGGGCGTCGTCCATGACGATGCCAATGCGGCGCTCAGCAATCCCATTTTGCTGTGGAGAGTCTGGAAGCGTAAAGGTCTGGCGGATGCCTCGCGCACGACAGTAGGCTCGCAGATGGCTAGAGGAGAACCCTCCGCCTCGGTCAGAGTGCAGACGCAGAGCAGGAAAGTCCGAGCCGAAACTCCTCCTGAGCTGGAGACGAGCTGCCCTCATTGACATCACCCTTGCTGCGCAAGGGGAAGACTGTGGTGTAACGCGAGTAGTCGTCAACCACCAGCAGGAAGTAGCGCTCGTGACCCTGTCCACGGACCCGGGCCGGGCCCCACACGTCCATGTGAAGCGTCTGCAGCGGGGCCTCTGTCAGGGGAAACTGAGAGGAGTGAGGGGCAGCCCGCAGCCGCCCCTCGACGCAGGGGACGCAGGTAGGGCCAGGCCCTGGAGGAAGGGGAGGGAGGGACCGGGGAAGACCAGAGACAAGGACACGGCAGGCCATGCCTCGGAGACGAGGCAGGGAGGGGTGACCAAGGCTGTGGTGCCAGAGGAGAGTCTCATGAGACAAGAGGCGACACGAGCACGGGGCAAACTCAGGACCAGACCTGGACGCTGCAGCAAACACCTGACCAGACGCAAGGACAGGAGGAGACTCAGTGGTCAGGGTGTACAGGCTCGACCCCGGCCGACGCGTAAACGTGGCCAGGTGCCGGCCCGTGCGAGCGTCTGAGCAGTGGGTCACCCGCTGACTCGCAGGAGTAAACTGGTGAACCCCCGCATCCTGTAGGTCAGCACCACTCACCAAGTTTGTAGAGAACGAGGGGAGGTAAAGACTAGACAAGGTGCCAGAGGGGGCCGCCGGACACGGGAGGACAGTGGAGAAGTGAGAAAGGACAGGACCCCAAGAGGGGTCTGCCAGGGAGACTGCAACCGGCCGACCAAGCGGCGTAAGTGTGGTGCGGTCTCGAAAGAAGGAGCAAGAAGCCCCTGAGTCAAGTGTGAAGGTGAGGGAGGCCGAAGCCGACACGGTACCTACGAGCACAGACTCACCAGCACCTGAGGACGCAGACGCACTGGCACCTAGAGCAGTAGCCTCACCAGTACCTAGAGCAGCAGTCTCAATGCCCGGGTCGGGCGGGAAACACCGGTAACAGTCACCCTCATCACTAATAGTCACAGCATACATGGCAGCAAGAATAGCATCAAAGTCAAGATCAAAGATAGCTACACCCCCCCTCGACAGCTCACCCCAGCGGGGGGATCTCAGTGGCCTCCGGGAACTGGTGACGCCAAGCGTCCGTCAGGCGACCAAAGAAGCGCTGGGTGGGGTGTGCACCCCCACACTGCTCACCCGCGCGGTCGCCGATGCGTAGGACGTAGGTGCACGGACCCGTACCCCCACCCTGCTGGCGTGCAGCGTACCACTCACGGAGCTGCTGAGGGGGGGGGATGTCCCGAGAACGCTGCTGCTGCTGCTACTACTGCTGGCGCTGACCACCACCGGAGCCGCCCCGCTGCGTAGCGCCACCCCGACCAGCTCCACCTCCTCCACCACCGCCTCCTCCACCTCCGCCACCACCGCCGCCTCCGCTCCCACCGCTACCGCCTCCGCCGCCTCCGCCTCCACTGCCGCCACCGACACCTCCACCCCCGCCACCACTCCCACCGCCACCCCCACTCCCTCCGCCGCCTCCATCGCCGCCTCCACTGCCCCCGCTAGCTCCTCCAGCGCCCCTGCCCCCCTTGCCCTTGCCAGGGTGGCGTCTCCCGCTAGGGGTAGACGCCGCACCGACCGACTCAAGCCCAACGAGGTCGGCCGCAGAAGCAGAGGCAACAGAGGTCAAAAAGGGGGAGGGGGAACACCCCTCAAAGATGGGGGTGCGAGGGTCACCACGAGAGGCTCCTACAGCGACTATGCTCTTCTCCGCTGCTAAGAGGGCCTTCTCGAGGAGGTCAACAGTGAGAGTGGTGGGACAGACCGAGAGGAAGTGGTCTCTGACTACACGAAGGGAGTCAGGGAGGCGGGTGACTATGTAGTAGAGAGTGATGTACATGGGGGGGGGTTTCATGGCGCAGAACTCAGCAGGAAGCGCAGCGCGGTAGCGAGTGTCACTAGTGCGGAGGTGCGTAATGAGGTCAGCAACTGTGGGGAAGGCAGCAAGGTCAGGGAAGAGGTACGGTAGCATGAGGCGGCTCAGTGCAGCTGTGGCAGGGGAAGAGTAGCGCGCAACTACAGCGTCGTACAAGGTCTGAGCACTCTTGTACTGACTAAAGTGCGCGCGCTCACTGGTAGGGAGGTGGCGACGCACAGCAAGACGTGCAGCAGCATCGCGAGTGGCCCACTTTGAGGGAACAGTGGCGTCGGCATCGGCAGCAGGGGCAGGGGAAGCACCAGATGTGAGGTCAAAGAGGGAGAGACCGTCTGCCCTATCGCACTGTAGGAAAAGCTGCAGGTCATCTACCCAGACGTCGAAGTCAATGGCCCGACCCTCAGCGTCAAAAGTGACAACACTGGGGGTAGCCATGACAGCAGTAGACTAGCTGCGCTAACTGTAGAGCAGGGGCAATGCAGTGACAGAGGCGCTGCGCTCACCAGACAGGGCGGTTCAGGCAGCTCGGGTGGCTCGGCAGCAACTGCGGCTCGGTGGCAACCGCGGCTTGGCTCCTCAGCTGCTCAGGCGACTCGGGCGGCTCGGGCGGTTCGGGTGGCTCGGGCGGCTCGGGTGGCTCGGGCGGCTCGGGTGGCTTGGGCGGCTTGGGCGACTCGGGTGGCTCGGGTGGCTTGGGCGGCTCGGGCGGCTCTGGTGGCTCGGGCTGCTTAGCGGCGCGGGCGGCTCGGTTGCGTAGGCGGTTCGGGCGGTAGGGGACGAGGCCGGGACCGCAGGTATTGCGCCGGAGCCGCAGGTAGGGCGGCAGGGCCATTGGTAGGGCGGCGGGGCCGCAGGTGGGGCGGCGGGGCCGCAGGTAGGGTGGCGGGGCCGCTGGTAGGGCGGTTGGGCCGCAGGTATGGCAGCTTGGCCGCAGGTAGGGCGGCTGGGCCGCAGGTAGGGCGGCTGGGCCGCAGGTAGGGCGGCTGGGCCGCAGGTAGGGCGGCGGGGCGGGGCCGTAGGTAGGGCGACGGGGCCGGGTCGAAGGTAGGGCGACGCGGTCGGTGCGCAGGTAGGGCGACGGGGCCGGGGCGCAGGTAGGGCGACGGGGCCGGGGTCGGAGGTAGGGCGACGAGGCCGAGGTCGCAAGCAGGGCGACGGGGCCGGGGCCGGGGCGCAGGTAGGGCGACGGGGCTAGGGCTGGGGCCGCAGGTATGGCGACGGGGCCAGGGTTGCAAGGGGGGCGACGGGGCCGGGGTCGCAGGTAGGGCGACGGGGCCGGGGCACAGGTAGGGCGACGGGGCCGGGGCGCAGGTAGGGCGACGGGGCCGGGGCGGTAGGTAGGGCGACGGGGTCGCTAGGGTGACGAATCAGGGGCCGCTAAGGCGGCGCGACTTGGCCGCTAGGGCGGCTCGACGAAGTCAGAGAAGGGAGCGCGACTCGGGCTGAGCGTGCTCCGGGCAGGAAAAAAAAAATTTCGACTTGGTGGGCCGTAGGCACAGTTCCCACGAGGGAACTTGCTCGATACCATGTGAAAACTGAAACGAGAATGATGCACTAAGGAATGGAAATATGCAACCCTAGAAATGTGTACCCCATATAGGCTACCCCACTACAGCCTACAGAACATTATGATTTGACAGTTGACTGCATGCATTTTGTAGTAGTTGGTCCAAACAAGAACATACAAAACCATGAATCAGTACTGCAGCACATGGAAGCACTAAAAACTATACTTGATGTAAGTACTTACAACATCAGCATATATTATAAACTAAAAAAAAAAATCCCGAACACACACCTCATTGGCCCCTAAACATGGGCGGGTCAGCCTGGCCCGACCCAGTCCGACCCAGCCCGACCCGACCCGGGAGCCTAGGTGGCCCGGCCAGGTCGGGTCGGGTCGGGCCGGGCCGGGCTTGTTGCTCATCTGTACGCCCCCTCCCCGACCGCCGCCCATGGCCGGCGGATCCTGCCCCGACGGCACGCCCGCTCCCTGCACGCCCGCCCACCGAGGGCCAATGGCACGCCCCCTCTATACCCGCCCACGGTCGGGGGAGCCCAGCCCAGCGGCACGCCCCCTCCTCGCCCGCTTGCGCGCGGCCGGCGGAGCCCGGCCCAGCGGCACGCCCCCTCCTCGCCCTCTTGCCCACGACCGCCAAAGCCCGCCCCGGCGGCACACCCCCTCCTCGCCCTCTTGCCCGCGGCCGTCGGAGCCCGGCCCGGCGGCGCGCCCCTACACCGCCCGCCCGCACTCGGCCTCCGAAGCCCGACCCGGCGGCGCGCTCTCCCCCCCCCCCCCCACCCCCCCCCCCTTGCCCTCTTGCCCGCGGCCGGCGTACCTCGGCCCGGCGGCGCGCCCCTTCACCGCCCGCCCGCCTCTTCAACGTTTGCTCGCCCCTGGCCGCCCAAGCCCGCCCAAGCCCGGCCCGCGACGCCCCCCCTTCCCCAACAGCCCGTCCGTCCAATATCAAACACTCATTCCATCCACTATGTTGCGATGCTTGTAAGTAATTGAACCAACGTGCTTTTGCATTTCGTCTTTAACCAACCAGCTTGTAGATATTTTCGACCAACTCTTATGATGTTAGTAATTTATTTTTTCTGCCGAAACTGAATTGAACTGGAACCCTTCACTCCTCCCTCTGTTTAGTGCATAAGATTTTGACCGCTAGAAAATCTTATTACTTGTTGAGGCTATCATTTCAAGCTGTCATTTTCGTTGATGATTCGTAGTATTGGTTCTCTCCATATGTTGAGGAGAAGCTGATGTGCACAAGCATAAGCAACCCTACCTACTTATTTTAGTTGATGAGGAATTGTCTTTTGAATATTCATGTCCATATGTTCTTGTTTTCAAAGAAGGCTCATTTGACTCCTTGGTTTCTTGCTGCATGGAGCTTGTCGACGTCGTTATTTGACACGCCAGGTCCAGGCATAGATGATTCATTTGATATGATTTATGTCCCGGACTATGCTTAAGACAAAGAGCTTATATATTAGGGATATTGAGTACGCAATCAACACTGAACGTTTAAAAGGAAGATTTAGGTGTATTATATAGGTTCAAGAGAATAGAAACACCGATTGTTAATGATGAAGGTCTGTCAGATTATTATAGCTGATGCATGTTTGTAGGCTATAGTGGGGTAGCACATATGGGGTACAGCTTTCTAGGGTTGTATTTGTACCCAACTCTGACTTAGTCACTCTCATTCCTGTTCATTCTTTTCACATGGTATAGAGCGGGTCCCTCCTAAGGACCGTTTTTTTTTTTTAAGGGCCCACCCACGATTTTTTTTCCTGCCCGGAGCGCGCTCTATTCTCCCCGAGGCGCGCTCCCCCCTAGTGCTTGTCGCGCTGCCTTTGTGGCGCCCCGAGAGTCGCGCGCGCGACTCCTTTTTTTTCGCGCGCGCAACCCGGGCCCCACGTCGCGCTGGCCTTACGGCCGCGCCGCGCCGCCCTCTCGGCTCTGCCGCGCCGTGCCGCCCTCACGCCGGCCGCGCGGCCTCTTCGTCGCTGCAGCGGGCCCCGTCACCTGACGGCCCCGCCGTCCTACTCCCGGCCCCGCCGCTGCACCCTGCCGGCCCCGCCGCTGCACCTCTGTCGGCCCCGCCGCTGCACCCTAACGGCCCCGCCGTCCCCTGTCACGGCCCCGCCGTCCCCTGCCACGGCCCCGCCGCTGCACCCTGACGGCCCCGCAACTGCACCAGTCGGCCCCGCCGCTGCACCCTGACGGCCCCGCCGCTGCACCCTGCCGGCCCCGCCGTCCCCTGTCACGGCCCCGCCGCTGCACTCTGCCGGCCCCGCCGCTGCACCCTGACGGCCCCGTCCTGCACCCGAGCCGCCCTGCCGCCGAGCCGCCCGGGAGCCGAGCCGCCCTGCACCCGAGCCGCCCTGCCGCCGAGCAGCCCGGGAGCCGAGCCGCCCTGCACCCGAGCCGCCCTGCCGCCGAGCCGCCCGGGCGCCGAGCAGCCCTGCACCCGAGCCGCCCTGCCGCCGAGCCGCCCGGGAGCCGAGCCGCCCAGCAGCCGAGTCACTGAGTCGCCGAGCCGCCCTTCTGCAGAGTTTCCCGGCTTGCCCCGTCTGGTGAGCACAGTCGCACTGTCACTGCGTGCTCTTCCCCTACTGCTTGCACTGCTTCGCTGTCGTAGTCATGGCTACCCCTAGTGTCCTAGCTTTTGACGCTGAGGGTCGCGCCATTGATTTTGAGGTCTGGTTAGACCACCTGCAGCTGTTCTTACAGTGCGACAGGGCTCACAGCCTTTCTCTCTTTGACCTCACCTCTGGCGCCTCTCCTGCTCCTGCTGCTGATGCTGATCCCACTGTCCGCTCTCAGTGGGCCACTCGCGATGCTGCTGCACGTCTTGCTGTGCGTCGCCACCTCCCTACCTCTGAGCGTGCGCACTTTAGTCAGTACAAGAGTGCTCAGACCTTGTACGACGCTGTAGTTGCGCACTACTCCTCCCCTGCCACTGCTGCACTGAGCCGTCTCATGCTTCCCTACCTCTTTCCTGACCTCTCTGCCTTTCCCACTGTCGCTGATCTCATTACGCACCTCCGCACTAGTGACACTCGCTACCGCGCCGCCCTTCCTGCTGAGTTCTGCGCTAAGAACCCCCCCCCCCCCATGTACATCGCTCTCTACTACGTAGTCGCGCGCCTCCCTGACTCCCTTCGCGTCGTCAGGGACCACTTTCTCGCAGTCTGTCCCACCACCCTCACCGTCGACCTCCTTGAGAAGGCCCTCCTCGCAGCGGAGAAGAGCATAGTCGCTGTAGGTGCTTCTCGTGGTGACCCTCGCACCCCCATCTTTGAGGGGTGCTTTCCTTCCCCCTTGCTGCCCTCTGTTGCCTCTGCTGCTGCTGCCGACCTGCTTGGTCTTGAGTCGGTCGGCGCGGCGTCTGCCCCTAGTGGGAGACGTCGCTCCAGCAAGGGCAAGGGGGGCAAGGGCGCGGGTGGAGCAGGAGGGGGCGGTGGTGGTGGCGGCGGTGGCGGCGGAGGGAGTGGGGGTGGCGGCGGGACTAGTGGCGGGGGTGGTGGTGGTGGTGGTGGCAGCAGCGGCGAAGACGGTGGTAGTGGTGCCAGCGGTGGTGGTGGAGGCAGCGGCGGAGGTGGAGGCGGCGGAGGTGGAGGCGGTGGAGGCGGCAGCGGAGGAGGCAGTGGTGGTGGAGGAGGTGGAGCTGGTCAGGGTGGTACCCAGCAGCGTAGCGGCGGTGGTGGTGGCCAGCGCTCGCACCGGCAGCGGCAGCAGCGCTCGCGGGACATCCCTTCGCCTCAGCAGCTTCGTGAGTGGTACGCTGGGCGTCAGAGGGGTGGGGGTACTGGTCCCTGCACCTACGTTCTTCGTTCCGGCGACCGCGCGGGTGAGCAGTGTGGGGGTGCCCACGCTGCCCAGCGCTGCTTTGGCCGCCTGACGGACGCTTGGCGTCAGCAGTTCCCTGGGGCTATTGAGATCCCTCGCTGGGATGAGCTTCTTAGGGCTGGTGTAGCGATCTTTGATCTTGATTTTGATGCTATCCTTGCTGCTATGTATGCTGTGACTTATAGTGAGGAGAATGAGGGTTACTGGTGTTTCCAGCCCGACCCGGGCATTGGTACTGCTGTGCTAGGTGCTTGTGAGGCTGCTGCTCTAGGTGCCAGTGCGTCTGCGCTCTCAGGTACAGGTGAGACTGCGCTCTCAGGTACTGCGTCGTCCTCGTCCTCCCTCACTTTCACACTTGACTCCGGGGCTTCTCGCTCCTTCTTTCGAGACCGCACTACCCTTACGCCGCTCGACCGGCCGGTTGCAGTCTCCCTTGCTGACCCCTCTGGGGGTCCTGTCCTGTCTCACTT